AACAGCGAAAAAAAGATCCCTTCTTTTCCTCCTCCTCCCTGTGGTGCTGTCAGTGCAGCCAGAGTAGAGCGACGTATCATCGCGGAGAGGGATCCACAGCCGGGTTCCCAATTCGCGTCCTCCGATCCTCTCTACCTACTCTCGACCTGCGACTACTCTTATCTCGTCGCCCTCCTTCTCCCCGTCTTCAAGACCTCCGAAGCCAACCTCCGACCCTCAACTCGACCCCCGAGCCTCACTCCTCCAGTCCACGACCCGCGAGGCATCTAGATTGCCGGTATCGAACACGGGTACTGAACAAAAGGAGACCTTCGATAGTAGATTCGAAGAAGACTCTTTCTCTTATCGTACGTGGTAAGTCACGCCGTTCGATTTTTGCGCTGCCTGCTTTTTCTTGTATCACTCTGTCCGACTGAATGGGTTCCCGCTTCACTCGACTCGACTCGACCCGGCTGCTTTGCAACACTATGCCTGCTGCTCAACTCCGCGCCGCCTGTGATCGCTTCATTCTGCATCCTGTTCATGGTATCAGTGGCCAACTGTGCAAACCTATCGCCTCGCACACACTTGCCTGTCCAATGTCGTGAGAGTGTCCGACTCGTGTGCCTGCGTACGTTCGACGTTACTCGCCACGGCCGCGAGCCCGTCAGCGTCTTTCGGTTCATCATTTACCTTGCACTTGCCCTTCTTTTGCACCACCAGTGCTACATGGCGAAACGCTGTGTCCAACCATTTGGTCTTGTCCCTCGAACCGTACCTGGAAAAACCTCGCAGCGTTGCGTTATATCAGCGAGAACGGGCTCTCTGCCTGATGACCAGATCATGCTCTTTTGAATCCAGGGAATCAACCAAGGACTTTCAACTAACAGGTTCTATCAAACAGGTCTCGGTGCTGCCGATTCCGACACTCCGCGCTTCTTGACATCGAGAACCTTCCGGCAAGACTTCGCTGTTCTCTGTCGGCACCTCCATCCTGTAATATCCGACAAAACAACATCTAACAGCCAGCCCCTGATGCGTTCATCTCCTTGAATGAAGATGGATTCCGAAGACGGGGAGTTTTTCATTAAAGTACGTCCGCAATCTCCTCCAAATGGTTCTCCTTGCGTCTAACACTCTTGTCAGCAATTGGCCAGTTTTGTGCGCACGCACGAAAAGGGCACTTGCCAATGCTCTACAGTTCAGACGACAGACTGTCTCCCGCCATGGCTCTTCGCAGAGCGGAAAGTTCTGTCACGGTGCCCCAGTCGCCTTCACACTCCCGAACGACATCGACGTCTGCTTCTACT